GAAGATCATACTTTTGAGCCTATTATTCAAATCCAGGAGTAAGAGCAAAAAGATGTTAATGCTTGAAGGATTAGTATAGCTATGAATATGTGGGTGAATGCTATTTAAGAGGATAGAATATTATGGAGAATTATCATTATTATTATTTATCTAGACATTATTATTTTTTTATTATTTTTGTTTTTTACTCTTTTTAAATTTCAATGTATGAATTTTTTTTTATAAATCTTATCAAATGTAAAAAATCCACGAAAATTCTACAAAATCCCACAGAATCCATTAAAATCCTGATTTAAAAGTCTTGCAAAATCCATTAAAATCCTGATTTTAAGTCTTGTAGAATCTTGCAAAATCTTAAAAGTCATGAAAATCCTGCAAAGTCTTTTAAAATCCGCAGGATTTTTTTTAACTAAAAAAGTCTGTTAAAATCCTAATCCAATACACCCCCCTAAATGTAAATAACTAATATAAATACTACAAATAATATATGTAGCCCACAATATTTATTAGAAATAAAATTTCTAACAAAACTATGTATAAAGAAATAAATTTTAAAAGATATAAAACTACGATCAATTATTTATTAAAAATTGTATTAAAAGTTAGAAATATAAAACTATTTTTTATTGGTTGTAAAAGGTGTTAATCTTGGTTGGCTGCAGGGGCTACAAAGATAATTTGGACTCCCTGTCCCAGAACCGAGCAAACTTAATCTTAATTTTTGATCTTGATCGGTTTGATTTGATTTAAATTGACTAAAAAAAGTTTAATATTCAAACCAAATCAGTTAAATTAAATATGATTACCTCGAATTAGATTTTATTCAAAACTTAAACAAAATAAACTCATGAACATTCTAAAGCTTACATTTATCAATTAATTAAAGTTGATGACAATTGACAAAGAATTGTTAATCTTAATTTAATCTTTGCTGGTCACGGTAAAAATGAATATTGGGTTATTGTAATACCAATGGTTCAAATCATTATGCCCATGACAGATACTATGATAGACCAAATAGAAATGAGAATTGGAGTAATATATAAAAATACAAATATTAGGTTTGAATTCTGATCTTGACAGATTGATTAAAAAGAATATTTATTTCTGTTAAAAAAAAATTTTATTCCCAATTGCCGCCCAAAAATAAGGTAATCTCTATGCATTAACTTTATTCTTAAAACGAACCTTATCCAAAACCAAGAATAAATTAATGTAACCAATGTGTGTTTTGTATTTTTCTCATCCATTAAAAAGAATCACGTTTCAAATCATATTTGGTATTGTTTCTAAAATAATTATTATCAAAATTAACAAACCTACTATATCTTACTATTTATTATTTTATTATATATAGTAGTTTATAATTAAATGATAATATAAAAACATTTTATATCATTAATGACTATTGATTCGTTCGCTTAAATGTTAATTTTCAACTAAGGAATTAGATTATTAGAAGAATAAAACAGAAACTATTATTTTTTTCTGAATAAAAAAAAATCACGTTTAAAACAATAGTACAAAAACCCATCAATTCATTAGTACAAAATTATCTTTTATTATTCTGTGTATCTTTTTTCCATTGAATTAAAGCCTAATCCTGATTGTAGTTTGAAATTATTGTTAGCTCGAAGAATTTTTTGTATAAGATAGTGATCCAATTCGATGATTTTTTCTTTCATACGATAGAAATTAAATACATACCTAACTAAATACATTCTCCTCAAAATAGATCAGTGACAAATTATATTTTTTTATTCATTAAAATTATAATAATGATAATATAATTATAATTTAAGATATTATGACATTATTCTAATATCTACCACTTGATTTGAAGTGTTTTAAATGTACGCAATTATATAAAGTTTAAATTTGTATTTTTTATCGATAAAAAAGATTATAATAATGATAACTAAGTTGACTCCAGTGATTTGTTTAAATTTAAAGGCACACAATTATATTATATACTTAATTTAATTTTTATTATAAGACACAATTTAAAAAAGTAATGATATTTTTTATAATAAATTTTACAATTTTAATAAAATATTAATTCTATTATATACAGAAACACAAAATATTATGAGTGGTAAGGATAAGGATCTGATTAAGATGAATGTTAGAAATGTTAGAGATTTGGTGTTGTGTGTGTGACGCGGTAGATGGTAGTGACTGCTCTGTAGAAGAGCACGCACCCTATTCATTCATTCATACTATATAGTAGAAGAAGAACTACTCTGTCCCGTGCGAAACACTTCATCATATCATAAATTCGCACTTTCTAGAAACCAAACCCAAGTCTCCTCTTCCCATATTTCTCTTTTCTTTTCTTCTCTCCATCTCCCTCGTTTTTCTTTCCTCCACCGTCACACAAATCTTCAACCTATACAAGCACGGGATTCCCTTCAAACTAATCTAAAATAATAAAAAAATATTCTCTCATTTTCTCTCTTTTAATTCTGGCCTTACTTTGTTTGCTGCTCTTGTTTGTTGGTTTAAGGTTAAAGCGTCAGCGTGTTGTCTTTTCTTAAGTGTTCAACAAAGCAGCGTGAGTTTCAGTTTGAGTTTTCTTCAAGACTTGCTTTAACCACCAAAGAGAGAGAGAGATAGTTGCCATTGTTTGTTTACGTAAGTCACTTGTGAAAACAGAGTGGATAAAGATACAGCTAGCTTCAGGTTTTTCCGGGGATAAATCGGTGTTTCAACGCTAAAAATAACTAAACTAAACTTTGACTCTTCGCTGTTGGGCTAATTTACGTTTCAATTCTCTTTCTTCTTCCTTCAAGGAGTAAAGAAAAACCCAATAGTTTAATTTCTCAAGTTCTTTCTTTTTCCGACCCTTTGTATTTTTCCCCTCATCTGGGTTCTCATTGTAACGTTTGGGTGAAACTTAAACGAGAAGCTGAAAAGTGAAGGCCCTTCCCTCTCTTTTCTCTGACACCATGATTTTCGATAAAGGGTCAATGCAATCCAAGTCCAACCTTGACTGCTTCCTCCGCCGTACGACACCTGTTGTGCCCTCTCAGTTTCTCCCCAAGGTTTTACTTTTGTCTTTATTTTGTGAATTTTTCTTTCATTGTGTTTTGGGTTCCCTCAGATTGTTTGATCCCATGTTTTTTTCTTTCTTTTGTTGTGTTTTCGTTAACAGCACGAGATTCGAAACCTTAACCGTTTGTGGCACCCGTGGGAGAGAGAAGCGGTTGAGTACTTCACTTTGAGCGATCTCTGGAATCGCTTCCATGAATGGAGTGCTTATGGAGCTGGAGTTCCCATCTCCTTGTCCAATAGGGAGACACTTGTTCAGTACTATGTTCCTTACCTCTCTGCAATTCAAATATTCACCAGCAACACTTTCAGGTATGTTATGCCCATGCACATGAAGATATATAATACCAGTGCTGGGATTTTGGGGTTGTTCAATTGTTCTACTTGGAGAGATTAGTTTCGGAGTCTTTTGTATGGTATAATATCTGTTGGAAGAAGTCAGTCTCTTAAATCTATCAGTACTTCGAGAGATTAGTTTCTGCCTCTTTATCAGGAGATATGTCAATTTTAATGTTTTGTGACCAAATGGGGCTAGTTGGTGTTACTCTGAATGTTTATTATGGCCAATATTATATTATGCTTGTGAATTAGTTGTGATTTTGTAAATCATGTTGAGCATGGTTTTTGGATTGATGATTGGTTGTGGTAAATAGTAATATCAATCTTTGATTGAATGGGAACATGATGCGCAGATTTGAATTGAATTGGGTGTTTGTTTTCAGGGAAGAGACTGAGTCGGGTGAGTGTGAGACAAGGGATTCGTACAGCGATTCGTACAGTGAAGAGAGCGAGTGTGATAAGCTGTGGAGGTGGGATGGAAGTTCATCAGAAGAGGGAGGATCAGAGCATGATTCTCTTTGTCATATGAATGACCGATTGGGACACCTGTATTTTCAGTATTTCGAGAGATCAACTCCATATGGAAGAGTCCCTCTAATGGATAAGGTGCGTTGTTTTCTTCTTGTTGGTCATTTCTGACTTTTGCATCCCTTTTTTGGTTGCTTATTTACTTATTTTTATGTTCTGAACAGAATTGCATCTATATCTGGATTCTGATTTTCTTGTTGTTAATGAAGATGAGAACCAACAGATTAGGCATAGGGAGGGAACAGGGAATGTTCTGTTTTTAGAGGTGTATTGTAATCAACCAAAATCTCTAGTGATAGGGGCATCCATAAAGGCTAACTGTGGCTTTTGACTTTTCAATGTGAATCCAGAGAACTCATTTTTCTCTGATCATAATAACAACTTCGCACTTCCTAGTCTCTGCTATCTCTTTCTTCTGTGGAACCCCCACCCCCCTCTTCAATGTAATTTATATTATTCTTATTATTATACTTCTTGAGCATATGTTCTTCTTCCAAAACTTCTGCTGAATGTAGTTTTCACTTTTCAGTGTTTGGATTCTTGTGATCAATGATTTAACAAAAAAATAAATTCTTAATTCAGCTCTTCAATAAAGTAGCATATCACCACATTAATCTTTTGGAAGTTTTATTATTAAACTAAACCCTTAAGATACAAAATAGCAAGAGTTTTATCCAATTCAACGAGACTTCCACAAGTTGAGGGTATAAAAGAAAACCTTGAAAATAAAAACCGTAATCAATTTGTAAAGTGAAATTAAATATTTGTAAAATTAACTTTATGACAAAAATATTTTAAAGGAAAACGTGATAACAATTAATAATTAACGTTTGTTGACCAATTTGTTTTTCACTTTCAGATTACTGCATTAGCAGAGAGATATCCAGGGTTGATGACACTAAGAAGTGTAGATCTTTCCCCAGCTAGTTGGATGGCAGTTGCTTGGTAATTAATATTCTCTCTCTCTCTCTCTCTCTGACTATATCTGCATCTTAAACATGTTCTAATTTTGTTGTCCTTTTTACACCAAATTTCTGGTCCTTATGGTTGAATAAATTTTAAATTGATTTCAACATGTACCCTTGATGTTAGGCAATCTAATGCTGTTTAAGCATTTATTATATATGGCCAATTGATGAAAATGGGTCTTCCATGGTTACTGTTTCCAGGTACCCCATATATCATATTCCCATGGGCAGAACAATTAAAGATCTCTCAACATGCTTCCTCACATACCACACACTTTCATCTTCATTCCAAGGTATTATTCTTCCCTAATCCATGTGTCACACTACATAATCATGTACACTACAACTATTCTATGCCCTTTTAGCCTTTTAAAAGGTAACAAAGATCTTGAAACTTCAGCCTAACAAAGTAAAATTTTGGAAAGAGAATATGCACTACTGAATGGGACTTTATTTTTGGTCATGTGTGTGTATCTGTAGACATGGACCTTGATGATGATAACGAGGGAGCCCACGAGAAGAGGAAAGAAGGTGAAGGCATATCGCTGCCAGCATTTGGTTTGGCCACGTATAAGATGCAAGGGAATTTGTGGGTCTCAGGAAATTGTGGTAGGGACCAAGAAAAACTAGTCTCACTATTGAGCGTGGCAGATTCATGGTTGAAGCAACTAAGGGTCCAACATCATGACTTTAATTACTTCATGGGCGTTCGGCATGGCTAAAAGAATTAATGCCACCACTTTACAAATTGACCACTGAAAAAACCCTCTTCTTTCGGATATTTGGTTGTTGTTCCCTTGCTTGGACCATTAATTGCACTCTTTTTTTGCTTTTGAGTGTGAGGATTTGTTACTTTGTAGTACTAGTTGTTTAGTTAACCCTTGAGAGCAAGCATATTAGGACATGCCCTTGTGAGATTAAGGGTAAGGGTAATTGACTCCTTTGTAAGTAGAGTGAGTGGTAGGTGAGAGTTACTACACTACATAGGACTTTGAATTTGGATTATTATTGTGTATGAATCACTTGCTATATTGACCAATGATAGTTGACACGTGGAATGTTTTGTATATGCCACCGATTCACTGGCTGCTGTTTGCAAATAGATAAGCATCCCATGATGCCATCAACATTTCTTTATCGTTTTAGTTTTGGTGAAAAGAAAAGTGTTGAAGAATGCAATCTAATCTAATGCATCCGAAATGAATGAACGGTTGGCCATTTGCCATGCATGACATGTAGCTTCTGAGCTTTTTTTCCGCGTGGACCCGTCACATAATAACAGAATATTGCTAAGCAATGACATAGCACATGGAATGGCTTAATTGTACTTTGAAAAGAAAAAAATATTGGTTGTAAAATGTGCATAAATATCCTCACCTAAAATATGGACGAGAAATAACTAATAATGATTGATTTGATAATTAACCCATATCCATGTGCGGTTTAAGGTAGCCGCGTAATCGTCTTCATTTTTTATTTTGGAGTCTCGTCTTACTCTTTATTAGTTATTTTTATTTAGTTTTTATTAAATATCTGAAGTAATTTTTAATCTGGGGAAATTTAATTAAAGTTTATTTGAAATACTTTTTTCATTTTATAACAATTCTATTATACATTATAATTATTTTTATATGCTTATTGTTTTCTTATCAGTACTCTTTATTTTTTCTCTGAAAATAAACATGTACAAATGACGCCATTAAATGTTTCTAAAGGGATTTTTGTTATATTATCCTAGTATTGTTGCTTTTTGATTTTACTATTTAATTTTGATAATGTAATAGAACTTATTCAACTAACTAACCAGTGCTACTGCATTAAAAATTTATTTCTACAAATGGAGTTTTTGATTTTATGTTTTATGCAGTCTTTTGGTGGGGTTTGGTTTTGGGTGACAATGTGAAAGATGCTGCACGTTTCATAACTTTTATTATTATTGTGAATACCTAAGTTTGTCAGACCAACTTTTTTTTTTTTTTCATACTCTTTTTTACATAAAGAAAAGAAGACTGAGGGGGGTCTCGTTTTTTTAGATCGATTTATTTTTTATTTTTGGTTAGCTTTTTTATTTTCCCGTTTTTCTCATTTCTAAAAATTGGATTGGGTCATAATTTAAAAAAATATATATAACCAAATTAAGCTTGTAAGCTCATAAGTAAAACAGTAAAAATTGGATTATTTTGTTAAATATTAAAGGGATTGTTGTTTAACGAAAGAACTTATTAGGTTCTTTATTAGGTTCTTCACTCTAAGCGATTATGGTTAAATAATTTTATTTCATTGGTGTTGATATTGAAGTCTAAAGAGAATAATCAAGTTTTTGTAGAAAGAGAATGATGTTGGGTGAATTTTAAGTCCAACAAATCCATCGCATTCACAAAATACTAGCTATTTTTTTTACCCTCTTTCATTTATAAAATAACTAAAGAAGTTTCAACACATTTTCATTAGTTTATTGTTTTATTAGTTATTAAAAACTCAGTTTTTATGTTTAAATTGCCATACAAAAAATTATCATTTTATGACACATTTTATAATAATTCAATAATTATCACTAAAAATTACTTTTTTCTATGATATAAATATAATATATATTGATATATTCATAAAAAAAAAAAATGTAAGCATAAGTTATAGTGACATGTAATATACGTTATTAAATTTCATTCAAAATCAACACTTAAATTATGTATAATTATATGTTAAATTGATTTATACCTATATTTTTTAAAAGTTATTAATTTTTTTCAAAGGTTGTACAAATTCTCAAGAGAATGATACTTAACTCATTATTCATCTACTTGCACAATTTATTATGTTTTTGATAAGTATAAGACTTTCCTACTTCTATTTTCATTTGAACCACCCAAATAAGTTTTTAACAATGTCATTAGGAAATATCTTTTAATTTGTGAAAAATATAGGGATATGTTTAGGTATCTAAAGGGGTATATTCTTTTGATAATCATTTTTAGCCTTTACATTTGTTAGGCTATTACTCCTAGGTTATTGAGAAAAAATAAAATTAGGAAATCAAAAGTTTATAAAAACCCTTATCTTCCTTTATATACAATAAGAAATCTAAAAGAATTACAATTTTCCTAATAATAAGACAATCACTTATTTCATTATCTTTTATTTTATTTTATTTTTTAAAAATAAATATTAAGACATACTAAAATCTCTTTTCTCATAATGCATTATATATGTAAATATTTTTACACTATTATTTAATTATAAAATTGTTATATACGATAAATTTGTCGACTTTTATAATAATTTTCTTAAAAATAACACAAAATATATATATATATATATATAAATATATTAT